GGACGAAGCATGTATCCTTGAGACTCGAACCATGGTTGAAAATTCGCCCAAAATTGTTCAGAGCCGTTCAACTTGGCATGATCAGTCAGATCATCGGTTTTAGAACGCTCTTGTATCTCTTTCATCCAATGTTCCTTCGTGCGAACCTGATTTCCTTCAGTTTGGGCACGAATGTCTTCGATCCGTGACTCAGTCTGAGCTACTTCAATTTGAAATCCGTCTGTTTGTCCCCAGGGAATTCCAATTTGAAGCTGGACTCTTTCGGAATGCACCGGAACTTCGTCCGTTTGCACCTGGTCTCCTCCAGATCGTGTATTGTCGGCTTGGATCTGTCCTTGGTCGAATTCAATCTGCATCTGAACTCCTAATTCTTCAATTGGAGTCTGAGAATCTCTTTCGGATTGCACTTGATTTATTTCCGTTTGGACCTGGTCGCCCGGCTTGTCTGTTTGGTATTGCCCCTGGTCGCCTTCAACTTGTACGTAAACTCCCAATGCTTCAGTTAGAGCCTGTAACTTTTCAGATTGTATTGAAGTTCCTTCAGTTTGTGCATTTTCTACTGCAAATTGCATCTGAATGCTTTCCGGTAGGACTGGGTCGCCTAGAGATTCCCATATTCCCTCCGATAGAACCGAGTCGCCTACAGATTGCATCCAAATTCCTTTGGAGAGGATTGGATCCCCGACAGATTGAATCTTAATTCCTTGTCGTAGGACGGGATCGCCTACAGACTGTACCTGAAGTACTTCTGGTAGGACAGGGTCTCCAGATTGCACGAAGTTCTCTGCTTGAACTTGTCCCTGGTCCCCTTCTATTTGCACGCGGGCTTCTTCGTTTTGAATCTTCTTTTGCGCTTTAATTTGTACTTCTTGATTTTCTTCTAATTCTGTTCGAATGGGTTTTCTTTTAATTTGTGGTTTAGTTTGACTCTCCATTTCGTCGCACTCGAGGTAGAATAGAGATGGAGGACGGAGGTAATAAGGATAACGAGACAACCGGGCATCCTGGGTAGATAGATTCTTGTAGAGGTGGGATGGAGACGGAATGGATTCTTCAGAGTATTGCTATAGTATAACTGTGGGAGAGAAGTATCCATCGTCTCCTTAGTACTTACGGACGCCTTCCCATGCCCAGTAAAGGCCAACAAAAGCTTCAAGGCCGTATTAGATAAGATATATTCGTGGTTCTACGAGACTGATCCAGAAAAAATCTAACACATGTAGTCCAGCTTGCGGACTCTACGGACGAAGATGCGACCTCCTCCTTGCTGACAAGTTTGCGTTTGAGCCTCCAAGATAAAGTGCGTCAGCTACGGCAAAATGCGTTTTCTTCGAACATCTTCAACAAGGTTCGATAAGGTTCGATAAGGTTCGGCGAAGTCTAGCTTTCAATGAGCCCATGTCGGACTCGGAGAGGTTAATCGTCGGAGGTGGTGAATCCCAAAATGGCAACCGTCACAGTGACAGTCACGCTGACTCCGTTCGCATGCGCATCCGAATCTCCGTCGGACTGCTTTATTATCAAACCATCCATGCTGACAAGGACAGCTTGTAATTCCGCCTTTCATCAATTGGTTCACTGCGTTTATAATGGCTTTTTGCACGGCCCCGGTTGCTGATGCGCTGTGTCAGCGGCGGCGTGGTGGAAGTTACCAGTCATTTCGACGCTTTTCCGCCACTTTCTAAAAAGGATGAGCAAGTGCTTTCAAGGAGCTGACGCGTTTGCCTGACTAAGGCCATATTTGGAAGTTTAAAAGGGGCTCGAAATGCGGTCTATAGCTCCTCAGAATATCTCAAATCCACACAACAAGCAACCTATCTAATAGTCTCATACAACACCACACATTCTACGATGCTTGTGTACACTGTACCTTCTTATCCCACCCACACTCCTCGAGTCGTATACTCGAATCCTCACTACACGTCTCCTCAACAATTCGTCGAAACTGAAGAACAGCAATTACGCAATTACATTGAAGCTGCGGCCTCTCGTCAATATCTCGCCCACATCGAAGAACAACGTGTCCTTGCTAATCGTCGTCGTCAGGAAGCCCTTCGTCAAGCTGAATACCAACGCCGTGAAGCCTTCGCCGCACGTTATGGCATAGCTCCCGGCGGTCGACACGGCTATGTCCCTCACGGCCAACTTCCCTTCAGGCAACAAAGGGCGCCTGTAGTCGTCATTCCAAACTTCGAAGAGGAGGAAGAGCGCAACGTTGAAGATTACGTTGGCAAT